AGCCAATAGTAAATTACTATCAAGAAATGTCTTACGTTCCCTTTTGCCGTTCCGCTCCATAAGTCTTATTCTCAGCTCTTTGGTTTCTGGACCCAGCTCCCTTCGACACAGAGAAAGCAGCTGTGTTAGAGATAACATGAAACCCCACTGTGCAAAAACACAGCTCTTTTGTCAGGATAGAGTTTCCTTTACTGTTGACATGAATGTACACCATCACACACACACATTAACAGCAGTTTGATGTCACATATGCCTTCTTACAAAGTAACGACTTCACTCCATTCCAGTGGGGTGTTGGGGTTGCTGGGCACAGGCAGGAAGCAGGTTGTCCTCTCTGTGGAGGGTTGGTCCAGGCTTATGACACAGCATAGCTCCCCTGATCTGGACTGCAGTCCTGCAAACACACAGCCGCACAGTGAGGTCTCCAGGAAGCCAGACAGAAATTATCTGATGCCGGCAGAAAATAACTGACCTTTGCTTAAGGTTGCCCCGAGCTGCTGGAGCAGTAGCCCTTGCACCAAGACACTCTGGGATACAGAGTTTGATCCCACCGTTAGATGGTCCATAGGGGCCTGGGAATATTCAGAAAAAATTGGTGCAGAGCTCAAAAACAAAATCAGCCATAGCATGTTATTTATTTCAGAAAAACTGGTTCTAGTTATTTGGACTTATTGCTTTTTTACCAAATGACTGGATGCACAAGTCCTGAGGTTGAGCACCATGGCTGGCTGAGTGCTGAACAGAGTGTCCTCTATCAGTCCCTTAATCGTATCCAGGTCCGCCTCACCCCCAGTGCTCTAAAAAAAAAAGAATCAGCTGAATCCTCTCTAATGAATAAATGTTTTGTTGGAGGAGTGGTGAGGTTTTACACCTACTATCAGCTTATGTCTAATAATATCCAAGAGGAAAATGCAATTGTTCTTTAATCTAAAACTATTTAGTTTGCTCAAAAAGCATCACAAATGTGGGGGTTGAACCATTTCCCTATATTAATACTTAACATTTGGCTTGACTACAAAATTTTAAATTTAGATTTAATTGAATTATCTTTAATTTAGATTTAATTTCATATTCTTGTTCTTAGATTAGGTGAATATCCATGGTAGCCGTCTTCAGCAGTGAAAACTATTTCTTATGCTCAGTATTAGTCTTTTTCCCCCCTACTTTATTTTCTTTGTTGCGGTCTCAGACAAAAGGCACACATACTGTATTCTGTCCTGTAATGACATTTAAGTGTGGCATTTCTTGCGTGACTCACAATGAGTTTAAGGGGGGAAATAGTGACTCACATTCAAAACATTACGTTTACTGCGATTTATGAAAAGAAGCATGGTCTCAAAAAAAAACAACACTGCACTGTTTCCTTTTTTGAATACGTGCAACCTTCTAGCTTGAAAACTCCAAACAGCTTCAGAAATGAGGCCTCTGCTGACTACATGAGGTAGACATGTAGTACCATCAATATCAGATGTTCTCACCTGTCTCTGCAGCTTGCATGGAGACACATTTAGAGAAAATAATGGCAGCTTGGATAGAGTCCAGGACATCAGCAAACCCTCATCCTGCACCTCCTCCAGACACACCACCACCTGATGGAGACAGACAGGGGGGAAGCAGGTTTGGAAAACATATTTGATTTGATTTGATTCTTTCAAACATGTAACGACAGTCAATGTGTCAACACACTTAATTCCACACATATCCACAAATACATTATCAATTTGCTTATACCTAGTAGATGCTTGAACGGAGTAGGAAGAAGTCAGACTTATCCAGTCCTACCCCATGACATCATCTTACCATCATTGGTTTGCAAGCAGTATTAAAAAATTATGTTCTACACCACGCTAGTGATATACTAAAAAATATTACAAGGAGGCAAAAAGCAGACTATTTATGTCTTTCCTAGAAGACTGGCCACCTCTGTGAGTGAATACAATACATTTTAACACTATAAAACACCAGATAACATTTGGCAGAAAAACATCTTTGATTTATGACAAAGATGCAAAAAGCTTCTTACAACAGAGTGAAGTGCACAGTCATTTATAACATACTTCTTCAGTAAAGTAAGGGAGAAAACACCAATCACAAAGGACTTATGGGAAACATGCTCTTAGTTTTGATAAATACTTGCAGCAACAACACTAATGGAGTAAGACAGAGGGCATTTCAGATGCACATGTAATGACAATGCCAGTGATGCCATGTGATTTTTTTGTGTTAGCTTACACATTTATAACAATGCAAATGATGCTCAAACATTCTCATTTGTTTTAGAGGCCTGTCCTCAAGTGAGCACACCACAAAAAATCCAGGTGGTGTGTTTTCATACCTTTGCCATCATCGGTGCTATAGTAATCTGATAGGTGTCCATGGAAACAGCAGCGGGGGACTGCTGGGTGACAGTCACGGGGAATGTCACCCTGTCCACCAAACATTTACATTGCAAAACCTGTTAAACAAGAAGAGGTTGACTTATGATGATGCTGGAATGGGAGAAAACTGCAAGATTCAGTCACTGCTAACATAACTTGCCTGTTAAAATCCATGTGTCTTTTTCATCTTCATCTCACTTGACTCGACAGAAATTCGGTCAAGTTTTTTTTTTTTTTTGGTCATGTATTGCTCCAATTAAAATGTACTGGGCGACTGGCTAAAGATGTCTGCTTTGAGAAGCTAATCCCTTCATCTCTAATGAACATGGACCACAGAAATGACATACCATTCGGTGCGCTGATTGGTCAGTGCAGGTCACACTATCTATTGTAGAGGCAGCAGTTAACTGGAGACTGCTGTCAAAAGTGATCTGGATGGAGCTCTGGGAGAGACAGAGAAAGAGAACTGTCCTAAATATTACATAACAGAAAGAAGAGAGGCACTTAGGGATTACATGAAGGGTTTCGCACTGCACTGCCATGAAACAGCCTTAAATGCAACTTGTTAGCAGTTATTCATAGCCCTTATGTTTCATAACGGACATTTATATGAGCTTGTGTAATACTGCAGAAGCTGTGGAGTCTCTTTCATTGAATGGCGACTGGTTCAGGCTGCTCATCCCTCACAGCAGCATCCAGTATCGAGACTGCATCAATCAATGCTTAGTCATGCTTATAGCAGAGCAGCTTTTAGTGTACGAGTGTTGGACTGGGAGAACACCTATCTCAGTTGGACAAAAAGATTGATGAGAGCTATGGAAACCCCAGTGGCCTGCTATCGCTGAGAGTGTGTACCAGAGGATCCGTTTCACTGGACGGCTTTAACGGGAAAGAAAACAAATCCCCCATAGTTAGGGCATATGTTCCTCTAGGTCCAAGTCCAATCTCTGTCAAGCACAACAGTGTGTGTGTTGGTTGGTGCAAAGCTCTAAAACTGCTCGGTCACCCCACCCTTCACTACACCCAAAAGCAGAACAAATATGATATGACATATTTCAGCTTGTGAGGCTTTAGAAAAATGTACTAATCTGCATTTCTGGTCCCTGGTCCCACAATCAAACCAGGAATGTTTAAACAGCAATCATACTGTATGATACATGTCTTAATTGCTAGGCCATCAAATGCCTCCTGGTATGAAATCTAAAAACTAGTAAATCCAAACCCCAATCTATGACGGGTCCTAGTGCATTTACAGCAGATGTGTTTATGTCAAACATGCGATACAAGACAAAAAGAAACTAACAACTTTATATTTTTGTTAAAAACAGCAGTACAAGCTTGCCAAGACATGCCAGTCACAGTCTTGCATGCCTGAGAGCGGGTTGGGTCATCATATCTTCAGTCTGCTGTTTCTGCCAGTGGGTGATGATAGCACTTTTCAAAACATATATTTGGTTTGGCCAGAATAGTACAGTAGTTGTGGGAATTTTATGTTGGCTATATTTGCTAACTAATGTCCCTGAAAAAAAATATGTTTAGAAAGTAGAATATCTAATTGGTCATAGGTTTCCTTAGACATTTCACATCCATTGGCTTCATTATGTCAAGAAGCAAGGCAATGCTAACATTCTAAGCACCACAGATGTGTCCTTGCGTGTATGTGGTGGGTATTTCTGGAAAGAGACAGTTCCTGAGGGCATCCATGGTGTCACTTCAGGTTCATCAGAGTCACCCCCTTGGGTCCAACCGCCTGAACGCCTCTGAAACGCATGTGGGTCAACAAGAAATACACTCCCCCTGTGGCTTTTGTTGCCCCTCATCTCCCTCTTTTTTTTTTTTTTGCAATCACATGTATCTGAGGTTCAGGCCATAACAGGGCTCAAACTTTGTGGTATGTAAAAAACTATTTATTCTCTTTTTTCACTTTGAAAAACAATAAAACATTGAACAGTCATGTTTTATTCTACATACACAAAACACTGCTTTGATAACTTGAAATGACAAAGTAAACCTCATCATATTTTTCAGCCATACTAGCAGTGTGAAACAAATGTAAAAGTAAAATAGGTACAGATTCCCTACTAAACATCAGCATCTTAGCATTTAGCACGTTAGCACAACTATGGCCATTGGCTCTTATTCTTATTTACTGTAAACTGCTGAATCAATGAATCCTCCCATCAGCTGTTAATCAAGCATCGCTGAAATTGATTTAGAGTAGCCATGTGAATTTAAGCTGATTTTATATGCATAAAACCTTAATTAAATGTCAAATACAGTACATTAAAATTATAAACAGGATGGAACGAGACTGCAGGGACTCCCATATCAAACATTTGTGATCTAGCTTCATTTCACAATAAATTATAAATATTTGGATAACACGTGCCTCTATATTAAATGCAGAGTCAAAAGAGAGGCTTTAGAGATTTTAATATTACAGTAATTTTGCCATGTACATAAAAGTGACTTGTGAATTTAAATCTGTGACTAAAGGATAAAAAGTTTCCTGTGCTATCATAGCTGATGAGCGCTGAGTGTTTAATGCCCCCTGTTGCCTACTTGAGCATAATCACAGGGCATTAATCATCTACCGTCAGCTCACAGTCAGAGAGCGAAAGAAGCGAACTATGGCGTCAACATAATCACCAGGCTTTATATAATTGCAGATCTTGAATGGAAAAGGAGCTTCCTTTCCTGCAGATGCACACTCGTATGCTCTATTAGTCCTCCCCCTTCCACCCACTGAACCCAGTGACGAGGGCTTGACATCATGCGTCAGCTACAGATGCACATGCAGTCTGACAATGCTATGACCGGCAGGTCTGGAGAGGCCAACCAGCCTTTCAAGCCTCCTCCTCCACAAACTAACTCAGCCACAGACATTTGAGTAGCTCCATATCTCGTCTGTTCTGCCAAGGCAGAAGCTTGTTATCTAGAAGCTTCCACATTAATACTTCAGCAGACAGATATAAACAGCAGAGTCAGGAAGCAAGTTGCATCCCGAGATTAATGTCCAATGGTGTAGGACGGACCAACAAGGACAGATGTGCTTTTCATGCTGCTGTCTTTTTAATGTCTCTGTTTAAATGAAACCACACTCTGGAAAGCATGTGTGTTTAATGCACATTAACCACTATACAGTGAGGAACAGAAGTATTTGAACACCCTGCGATTTTGCAAGTTCTCCCACTTAGAAATCATGGAGGGGTCTGAAATTCACATTGTAGGTGCATTCCCACTCTGAGAGACAGAATTAAAAAAA